CATAGCTTTTTCTCTGGTAATATCACACTACTAACTAGAGCATACAAAACATTTGCTGAACCAATACTCAAATACAGCTCATCAGTCTGGAACCCACATTACGTATCTGATATTAGCAAAGTTGAGAAAGTCAGAAATATTTCACAAGAAGAGTTCTCCACTCCTCCACTCATTGTAGAATATCTTATGCCACCAGACTTGAAATTCTAGACCTAGAAAACCTTGAATTACACTGTCATCGGTCTGATCTAAGTATGGTATATAAAATCATACATTGCAATGACTTACCTGTCAATGAATACTTCAGCTTCAACCATAACAACACAAGAGCACACAATAGATACAAACTCAAGGTTAACCGCACCAAACTTGATTGCAGGAAATACGACTTCAGCAACAGAGTGGTCAATGTCTGGAATACTCTACCTGACTCTGTGGTTTCTTCCCCAAACCCCAAAAACTTTAACATTAGACTGTGTACTATTGACCTCACCCCTTTCCTAAGAGGTCTGTAGAGGGCGTGCATAAGCGCACCAACGTGCCTACCGTCCCTGTCCTATTGTTTCTTTTATTTTTCTTATACGTACCCATTTCATGTATTCATAACTATGTATATCCTTATACCTATTATCTTGTAAGCGATTGACAAATCAAAATAAATAAATAATAAATAAATAAATACCACTCACACATCATCACAAAATCTCCAGAACTGTAAAGTCTACAAACTTGAAATTTGGCACATATGTTCCTCTTGGCTTCTAGGTGCCCACTAAGGATTTTTTGAAATGACCATCAAGCATTATTATTAACACGCTCTGATGCTAAGGAGTTCTACTCCCTCTCCCCACTGAAAAGAAATCTGTTCCAAATGCAAAAGACAAGCAGGAATTTCAGTTTCACAGCACCAAGCAGCTTCACTACACAACAGTTGAGCTAAGCCACGCCCAGGCTCCTTGTTGTCTCCTTCTTGCTCACACAGCAAATACTGTTTCAGTTTCCAACAGCCTTACACAGACAGGACACTAGCCAGATGAATACCAATGGATGCTGGTAGGCAGAGGCAGAAATTTGTTCCCTTATTTTCCTCCCCCAAAACTAACCCCAACCACATAGTTCGTAGTGAAGCACCGGTATCGAGCTAGTATATTTTATAATATTGGAAGCGAGAACAATTGTTTCAGAAGAAGCCTGAAAATAATGGCAATGGATTACTTATTAAGTTTACAAAGATAGACAAGAAGAAACAGTATCAATAATGAAGTGTACTTTTGCATACTATATTATGTGGGAGTGAGAATTGAAGTGTAAAAGTTGAATGGAGTAGAAATGGGTTATTAAGTAAAACAAGTAAAACAAGAAGAGATAGGATCAAGACAAAATGGATGCTGAGTAAATGTGAACTATATAGAAAAGTTGAGAAAGCAGTACAAAACTAATACATTAATGTGATTTGGTTATACAGAGAGAAGCATGACGACTGCATCATAAAATAAATATATATAGGAAGAGTGATGGATTGACAGGAAGGAAAAACACTAATAAGACCTAAAAAAAGAGAGTGTTGAACAGTTTGAAAAATTAAATGCAGTATATGAATTGTATGGATGACATAACCAGAAATAGTTTCCAATGATAGAAAAAGTATGGACAGTAATTGTGAATGGCATCTGTATAAAACAAAATTTAGTTATATTTCTTCTTTTAGTCCTCTATGTTTCTTTTACCATTTTTATTCTTTTTCTACACTTAATCTAACTTTTTATCCTGAAAGTAACTTGCATAACAAGTATATATAAAGATCCATTATACAGAAATTATTAAACTAAACTTTTTTTAAAAAAAATCATACTGTTTATTAGATTTATATCCTCCTTTTTCTCGAAGAGCACAAGACAGCCTTATCTCTCTTCACTTTAACTCCACTGCAATTACTTCTTTAAGTGAGGCTAGGCTGAGGGACAGTGACTGGCTCAGAGTTAGCCACTGAATTTCCATGGTTGAGTTTGAGATTAGAAAATAATATACGTAGTTCTCAAATTACAACCAAAATTAGGACCAGAATCCACACTGTGATATAGTTAAGTAAATCATGCCCATTTTTATAACTTTTTTGCTACAGTCTTAAGTGAATTTAGCTTCCCTCGCCACTAGTAACCTTCCCTGGGCTACCAACAAGTGCTTTGTTTGTTGGCAGCTCCGGGGAAGGTTACTAGAGGTGATCATGTGACTCTGCTCTGGGACACTGCAACTGTTACCTACCAATTGCCAAGAACCCAAATATTGATCATGTGATCGTGGAGACGCTGAGTTACAAATGCAAGGACAGGTCATAAATGACTTTTCTCAGTACCATATCTTTGAAGGTCATTAAACAAAAGTCAATACCCATAGTATGGACCACTATGAGACAAATTCTATATGATGAGATTTAAAGTGCCACTTCACCTGTTTATATTAACCTTTAAAGTAACTTAGGAGACCAATATTCTTCTACTTTCTATTTTAAGTATTAATATTAAATATTAAGAATATAATTTTGGCACAGAAGCAATTTTACAATTCCAACAATTATATTTGCAAAATTATTGCAAAAAGATATAAAGTTTTACATTTAATATAAAATTCTAATCAGGTCTGAACTTGAGTTGAATGTTGCATAGTTCATCAGGAATGTGTGACTAAAGAAAACATAATCCCAGCTAATTCTAAATAAAAGGAATTTATCAGCACATATGGCCTTTCTTATTTTATCCAAAGAGTTGAATCATTCAACTGACCATCAGGATAAATCTTAATGAAAGGGCATATTAATATATGCTAGCAAATTTTATAACCATAGTTATTAATATTCTCTTTAAAACTGAAACATTTTGTCATGGGTTTTTAACTAGAGAACTGTAAGAATCCAGTATCTTGCTCAATGACTCTTTAACTTCTTTAAAGTCACTTTCAAAGCAAAGGTAAGGCAAAAGAAAATATGAGTGAAATACAAAACATGAACTGAGTTGTCTCATATTTCAAGAGATAATTGAATCCCAATCTGAAGTGTAAAAACTACTATATTCAGATTACACATTAATATTAAATGTCTGTCATCTGTTGCTTCATTATCATGGAATAATTTAACCAAGTGAGCTATGAGGTTCTTGTTTCAATTGACAAGCAGGTAATACAGTAGACAGTAGAAACCTGAGAGAAAAAAGTAAGTTATCCTTTCTTAAATATGCACCTTTTAATTAAATATGAATCAGTTACATAGAAGGTACTAACAGATATACTGACATCAGACAATGCATTTAATTAGCACATACAGTATATACGCAAATTGTTATCAATCAACATAATAATACTGGCACAGCCAATAGCTCTATTAGAATCATATCCACATAAAACTGAACCTAGTTTAACAAAACATATTTTATGCCTGTTTCATATGAGAAACATTTTAACTTCTAGAATACTTAAAATACTTGGTATGTAATTAAATACACTGCATGTATAATAACTTCATTTTTAAAATATATCCTGATTAGAATAAGGTTACCAATATTTACAGTAAGACAAAATCATATACAGACTAAAGAATTTGGATAAAACCTTACAATAGTGCTTTTAAAAAAACGTGTGGCACCAAAACACTCTTATTTCACACTGTTCAATGATTATTATATGTTTTTATCCAGTCTTTATTACTTTATTAGTAACTCAACATGACAAACATTCCTAAATACTCCTTCCTCCTATTTTCACCACCACCATCCTGTGGGGTGAGTTGGGCAGAGACAGAGGGACCAGCCCAAAGTCACTCAGCCAGTTTTCATGCCTAAGGCAGAAATAGAACTCAGTCTCCTGGTTTCTATGCCAGCCTTAACCATTACACTATACTGCCTTTCCATTATCTTTTTAGAATAAAATGTTATCCTCTTCTGAGAAACACACTCAAGCAATAAAACTTTTCCTTGCATATTGCTGCTACTATGGTCCTACACAACTTTTATTTTGTATAATTACCATGAATTATAAAATAAATGGTCTAGTTCCCTTCTATTGAAATCTCAGCTTTGATTGTTATTACAACTGACATCCTACTTCTGGGCTAAACTCCTATTGTTACAAATATGCCAACTTCAAAATCAAATTTAGCAGAAAACAAATACCACTTATTTACTTGCTTATTAGATTTATAGTTTCCCATTCACTGGAAATTCCAAAAAGTCAATATGGCAGCAATTTGAAGTTGGTATTATTGTTTCATCTTGCTTTGTTTTACTGATCTTGCTGTGAGCAAACAGGGTTATTGTATGTAAGATGATAAATCATGTACGTCAGGTACTAAATAAAAATTATCACGATTGAAGCCCCACCCCTCTTGTGCAGGTATGAAAATACTGCCATCTTCTTCCTTTTTTTAAAAAAAACTTATCTTCTGGATGTGTTTTGTCCAATCAATATATGTTTATCCTAATTTCTCCTAAAACAATAATTCTGCGAGGTAAATTAAGTGAATAAAGTCCCAAACAGCTTCACTAAGGGTGGATTTGAAACTGGGCCTTCCCAGTACAGCCCAACATATCAACCATGTTTATCGCTGTGGTTAATATTTTTACTTGTGAATCACCTAGATGCAGAGTCGGGAGGCCTAGAAATTTAATAAATAAAACACAAACATGTACATTCCCCTTAAAAAGTTCCATCATAGTTAGGTATACAAGTATCTGAATCCAGAATTTGTATCGAGGATTTACTAAGAAATACTCCAGCAAATGTTCAGACTTATGAACTAATTGTATTTCTCTAAGTATTTTGTTTTCCTTAAACGGGAGCATTTATTGGGAGCATTTATTAACAGTATGTTAAGAGGGAGAGAGGAAAAAAGAAAAAGAGAAGGAGATTTGTTTTAAGATTAAGTTGAAGAATAATTGGTGCAAGCAGAATGTATTAGCTTGATGAGGGTCTTCTCCGCCTCCCCCCTTATCTATACTGGGGGCATCGCTCACCTCCTGAATGCGCTTACGGGCCCTTTGCAAAACCTCCTCGTAGCCCTTCTGGCGTAGCTCGCTCAGACTCTCGTAATATTCCTCCGGGTCGTCGGTTTCGGTAAAGAGTACCTGAGAGAGGATCTTCCAGCCACAAGTATCGAGGCAGTGGCCCAGGTATACCTGCAGCTGATAGCACAGCGCATCCATCTCTCCCTCGGAGAGCTCTGGAGTCCCGAAGAGCACCGTCCACATCCCCGACGGTTCCTCGGGAAGGACGGGCAAACAGGGCTCCAGCTCGGAGTTCACCGAGCTCAGCTGTTGATGGACGGCCCGCAGATCCTGGAAAGAGAAGAGGCCGGCCCAGCTGCATTCCTCTCCCGATAGCGCTTCCACCTCGGCGGAGGCCGCGGTGGGCGACTCGGCCGCTTGAGGCCCGGCGGGAGGAGAAGGGAGAAAGGCGGCGGCGGCGGCGCCTCCCGAAGGCTCGTCCTTGCCCAGGTCCAGCTCTTCCAAATCTTCGGCCGCGCAGGCCAGCGCTGGGCTGAGCGGCGCCTTCGGAGCTGGCTGAGGCCTCCGGGACAGGCTGCTCTTCGTACTCGCTGGGCTCCTCTGCGACGCCTCAACCGCTCGGCTGCCCGGGCTGCGCGGAAGCGACTCGGCCCGGGCAGGCGATGCCGGCGAGCTCCTGGCTTGGACGGGTTCCGCGCCGCGTCGGGCCGGGGGTTTTCGTACAGTGGGGCTGCCGGCCGTTTTACAGGAGGCGCTTAGCGGCTCGGGCGCCCCGGGGCCCACTGCGCCAGTGCGGCGGAACTCCCGGGAGCCGCTGCGCTGCCTCTGCGCCGTCCGGTTGTGGCAGGTGATGGCGAACTTGCTCTCGATCTCATTCCAGGCCACGATAAAGACAAACTTCTGCTTCTCCCGCTCGTGGAAAGCGTGAGGCCTCACGGCCACCCAGTCCGCCTCCAAGGTCTCTTCCAAGGCGAAGGTGCTCATGGTGGACCGACACCGCGACTCCCCCCGCCTCTCTTTTCTCTCACGGACGTCGCGAAGCCGGTGGTGGCGGCGGAGAAGTCTCTGTTCCGGTCAAGATTGCCGGGTACCCAGTCACCGCCCAGCCTCAGCCATGTTAACGGCCGGCATCGGAAACCCAAGCGGGCGGAAACCCAAGCAGGAAAGATGCCAGGCTAGCCAGGACCCGGAGAGCCGCGGTGGAAAGGCGCCAGAGACCCGCCGTTGGCTTCAACAGCCGTTGCTGCTACTGCAGCGCGCGTGCGCGCCTTCCGCGCGCTCTGCTTTGTTGTCAAGAGTCTGGCGGCTGCAGAGTCTCCCGCACAGGTACTTGCAGGCGATCACGTGGAGACGCCGGATCTGTTTACAAGTCACCGCGAGGCCGCTGTCCCGCCTCTTGCGCTGTTTGCCCTCCCCCGCCTCTTCCCTTCAGCTGGGGGAGGGCGCATCTTCGAGTCCGCAGGACAGAGAGGACGGCGGTTCGCTCCTCTCTTTTGTCGGCCTTTTCCCCTCCGGGATTTCAGGAGCGCCTCCTTCTGTTCCCTTCCTCTTTCTCCTCGGAAAGATCCGGATCCAAGGGCTCCTCGGCGGATTAGGGGGGAAAGCCGGCATCCTGCCAAAAAGGCGGCTTGAACCCACGTCCGGTGCCGGAAAGGGCAGCAGCGCTTTAGAGTCCCAGCTGAGGGGTTCGTGAGACTCTCGGACAGTGGCCGCTGAAGTTTATGGCGGGTTTCTGCGGTGAGATGCGGGAGGGGGGGTGTTGACGAGCTCAACTTCGTTTGCAAACTGTTTCTTGCCTTTGAAGTGAGTCCCTCACGTTTTGGTTTGGTTGTTGCGGAAAGAAAATGTGTATCAATGAAAGGCGTCTGAGAGGAAACCTGTATCAATCGTAGCGACTTCAGATAGTCGGAAAATACAAACATGATGTGTGGGAGTCAGTCTTAATTTTCAACCAGCCTTACCAAAGTCTTTTGTTGAAACTATTTCCAAGGTACAATAGATATGTCGTTAGGCTTTTACATTTTTCTAAATTTCATTATTCAGTGTAGACCAGAAAATATACCCTGTATATCACATCTAAATATATCACAATTTGAATACTTGATTCCAATTTCTTTTCATATAATTTAATTCCATTACATTTTATTAATTATTTTCTATTAATTGTTAATAATTACAATATTATAAATAATAGTAATGACTAAATAATAAACAATAATGACTAAATATCTTTTGCCAAATCATTGTCTGATATCTTACTAGGCAGTGTGCTGAAAAATGTAGGCTAAAGGGGTCTAGGTTGACAGGCTGTAATACCAGTAAGAGTATTTGAAGCTAATATTCTTGACATTGGTCAATAATTATCAGAGATCATGATGGTTGTAATTAGGATAAAAAACACAAAGCTAATGCACATATATACCTGTCTCTCAAAGTAACAGTAAGTTAGAGATTCTGCCACAGTGCAGATATTTTCCACTTTAAAACTCAAGGACCTTCCTTATTAGGAAATAACACATTCAAGTCAGAGTTTTCTGACTTGAATCCACCAAAACAACAATAGAATCCTAATAGAGTTTTTCAAGATTATTTCCCTGAAAAGTATACAACTGAAATGAACCTAAATATAGTTCTTGAGACCTAAAGGCTATTAGTTTCTCTACAATTAAAACAGCTGATTGTAAAATAACGGATTCTCCTGTAGTAAGCATGTATTTGGATATTGTGATGTTGTCTTAGTAGTTTTAGAAATATACATTATTTTTTAAAATATCCAAAAACAAATGTTTTCTGGCAGGTTCTCATTGGCTAGTTAATATTTAGATTTATTTTTCCAGCTTCCAAAAACAGAACTAGTGGAATTAGTGGTAAGGTTTGAATAATGGAAGATTCCCATCAGTTGAAATAGCAAGTTATATTTTGAGTAGGGAATATTTTTTGTTGAAGGTTGACTAGGGCCTATGTATCTGTAGTTAGTAAATTAAATATGAATAGGACGATCCCTACATCCTCTCTTTGTCATTCCCTTCATTTATACATTTGTATTCTGTTTTCACTAAATGCAATTTCAAAGAAGAGTAGCACAAAATGAAATAATGTAACTATTAAATGCATAGTGGAGTGTTTCTTAATCTCAGGAACTTTAAGATGGAGTTTTGGGAGTTGAAGTCTTAAAGTTGCTGAGATTGAGAAACACTGGTTCAGTGAGTACATCAAGCTATACTTACAGTGAAGAAAATAGAAGAACCTTGAAGTTGTGAGGCTACTTAGTGTAAAATTGAATAGTGAAGTTTATATTATGTGTCATATAAAATTTAATAAAACAGGTTACAATATCTATCCCCAAAAAGCAAAGAAAAACAAATACTTTAACTCTGTAACTACAACTCGAATTGTAAATGAGGAACCAAAACAGTAAATGAGGAACTGTGGGAGAAACCACAAGCCATATAATAGAGCAATTTTTTAAAATAGCTGCTGGGGTATTTTTCAAACAAACACATCTCATTCTTGTTACAAATTACTGATCAAAGGTGGTAAGTGGGTACATTTTTTAAATATTTAAATTTTGTTGCTTAGCGTTGTTGATCTTTGATTTTAATATAATTCTAAAAACTATAGCTTGAATTATGCCTTGCCTGACATATTGCGCTTCCATTGCAAAATGATTTAGATTTATTTCAGAAAAGTAAACAAGGCAGGCTAATGGTAGACCATCATTCATAGTTTATTAAATCTCACATATTTATTGACTCTCACAGGTGATAACTCCATAGAACTATACTATAGGGTTATTTGATACATTTGGATCAAGATGACAGCTTAACATGGTATAATAGGAAAATGACTAAATAGATTTAATGTGTATTTTTACTTGATACTTTCAGAACAATAATTTAATTTCTTTAAAATGTATAAATAATTTTTATCATCTATAAACTGACATATATGTTGAATGTGTTAAACATTTAATATTGCTTCACTTCTGCATTTTTATATAGAAGTCAACTTGTTTACTCCTTTTTTAAAAAAAACTAATTCAATAACTTGTTTTGCAAAGTCATAGATTTTACATTTTTTTTTCATATGAGCTGCCATATAAATGATGTTTGAATTGTCATTGTTTGTGTCTTAGAGTTGGTTGGTTGCAGGGAGCTCTGTACATCAGCTTGCCACCAAAATTCACATTCTTAGCAGTATATAACCAAGATACATGTTATAGCATTTCTTAATTTTGGTTAAGTTTCTTTGTCTTTAAACTGATTTTACAAACTTTTCATTTTATACTGTTTATATGTAACCATTTAAAATGGTGTGGTTTCTTTTATAGATTGTCAAATCAGTAATTATGTGGTCTACAAGTATACTCATAGAAATTGTTTCCTTAAATTATATAGCGGACTCTTCTATTTGAAAATTAGGTTAATAGTGCTTGATAGTTTGCTGCCAAGTAAATAGGTATACATACTAGTAAGCTCTAAATATGCTATAAATTAATTTTTCGTAGGAACAGGATGGTTCTATTTATTTTGAAGATAAAACTACTCAACAGCTTCCACATCTCATGTAAAATTCCTGAGCCTGGAAAGCTACATGCAACTTGATGTTCATGATCCTTCTTCTAATTTGTTTTCCTACACTTTTGGTTAATAGCTTTGGCAATTCTTGCCAGTTTTACTAGAAAATCATCTTCCAAGAGATCATAGTGTCAGTGCCAAAATGGCAGATGTTGCTGGGCCTTATTTAAAAAAAAGTCCTTTAGGAAATGCTGCAGGACCTATAAATCAAGAGAGGAAGCAAACTGTTTTAATGTTCCAGTCTTCAATAATCTTGGCTCTGGCTCAGATCACATGGGAAACAAGGAGACAGCTGTAGATTCTTATGTATTCATGTATATGTGTATGGGGTTCATCACCACTTACAGGACTCTATGCCTTCCTGGGAGTCTCATGAATCTTAACAAGTACCCAAACATTCTATTTATTTTGATACTGATTAGTAGAATCTGAAAGCATGACAAAGCTTGGGGAGGGCGATTAATAGAAGGAGGGAAGAACAGTTGATAGACTGGCAAAGAATTTAAAAAAATATTTTGGAAATCTTGAAGAAGGTATGATTGTTGGTAATCTAACATGAAGATAATTGAATTGTTGGTTTTAATCCTGAATTTTTTTTGTTAGTTTTTAATACTGAGAATAATACTGGGTGGTGGTCTTGAAGTGGACTTATTATGTTACACTGCTGAATGACTGTGGGTTTGAGTAGAACCTGATTTGCTGAAGACCTGAAGGCAAGAAAATGTGATTGAACATACTAAGTCTTATCAGGCAGAGAGAATGCTTGTATCCGCCTGAAAGAGAGGATACTGGCCAGTATGTTTGTTACTTTAAATAGAAAATGTTATGAAATAGATATGTATATATACAGTAGATGTTAAGCCAATATCCTAGAATACACAAATACCTTGAGAGATAATGCATTAAGTAGAGGAAAAAAGTTATTTTACAATTATTTTTAAATTTTGAGGTTATCTGGTTGTCTAGATGTAAATATCTCTTGTAAAGACAGGTCAGAAATCCAAAATTAACTACTGTTTGGTTTCTTAATAAAGGGTAAAAAAGAAAGTTTGTGCTGTGTCTTGTTTCAAATCCTATGAAAATACAGAAGCCCCTTTTTATTTTTATGTATTTGTCTAAAATGGCAAGGTTGTACATCTACATACAAATGTGCATTTCAGTGCATATCTATGTCTGCGCTCATATTTTGCAACTCTCTATCACATGTGGGCCACGAACTGAAAAATTGCCTACCTCTGTTTTAAGATGAGTGACCTCTTTGGGCTTACTTGTAACAGAGCAATATGGCTACATCTCTGGAATTAATCCCACCGGTTTACTTCTCTTAAAGCTCCAGCATGTTTGCTCATTTTAATCAAGAACATTTGACAACTAAATCATACAAAGATCATATGGTAAATAAATACCAATCTTAGGAGGATTTTTTTGCCAGATAAAGGCTTGAATTCAGAGGGCATATCCAGACAACCAGTTTAGTTTTCTGTTTTCATCTCTGGGAGCTGACACAAAATATGCCAGCATAAATTTGCTTTGTTCCCATTCAGAGCAATGCTGGTGGGTAAAACAGCAACCAAGTATTTTCTCTAATGTGGCTGGGTCTGAGAAAAAGGCAAATTTTACTGATGACCAGGGTAGTAGCTGATTGTCAGAACCAAGAAGCCCCTGTCCACCTGTCCACCTCATAAATCAACCTCAGTGCTCACTCCTATAGTTCAGGTATTGGAGAGATTATATTTTCAGTCATATTATTCCCTAATATAT